TCTGGATCCAGCCACTGGCAGAGAGGAGATGCAATATACCTAAGGTAACGTCTGAGCTGACGGTTCCGACTTTTCCAGTATCTGTAAGTTCTTGCATTGGCAAAGCATGACTCCATCTAACAAGTCTCTTCATCAGAAAATACTTCTCTCAGTGTCAAAAATTTAAAATAACGATCAAAATATAGTTAGAACTAGCAAATATTAGATGTTTAATTTCTCAGAAATCTGTAACTTGCTTATCTGTTCTTTAAAAAAAAAAAAAAAAGTGTGTTTCATACGAAGATCTATTCCCCTGGTGATTTCAGACTTCAGAAAAATGCTTTGGAATGAGAAGCTGCTCTTGGCCTTAAGTTTGAAGTGCCCTTAAGAGTTTATTATATAAGTTACTTCAAAAATGTATACTATCGCTTTAGTATTTTCTACATAGTAGGATTCACCTGCCTTATATCATTAACTAAGTTTTATGATATCTGACTGTTTTCAAATTAGGAAACAAAAGAGATTTACGATGTTTTGGGGGGAAAAAAGTTTTTGCAAATCCCCAAGTTTGCTTTTGAGATAGACTACCGAAAAAAAACCCTCTAATCCATAACGCTGATGAGATTTCTTCTAAGTCTTCCTGGGAAGAATTCTGCAGTGGAGTCTTAGACTTAATATTCAATTAGGGCAGAAAATACTCCTTTGCTCATAAGACATGCTTTACTTCCTGCAAGAATCCAATAAAAGTGCCGTTTGTCACCTGGATTACTCAAACATTGCAAAGAAATGCATGTGAAAACATCCACTCCATAAATAAATTCAAGCATATAAACCAAGGGTAAATAATTAAGCTAATCTATAACATTTCATCAGTCTCAGGCATGAAACTGCAAAAATATATACCACTGCAAGAAAGTAAAACCTTTCTTTCAGCTAGCCCTTGAATGCTCAGAAATGAGAGAAAGCAAAAGTTGTGAGACCACTTCAAAAATTTCTTTTTCCGGAGTCCTCACACTCATCAAGACTATTCTCCACGAAAATACAGCACTGAAGTTTGTTCTCTGTGCTGGGGACAGCACTTCGGTGCTCCCCCCTGCAACCAGTTCTCAGCACTGCCTTACCTTTTATATCTCTGTTCATTAACAGAAAAACAGACAGCATGAGCAACATGCATGTTCTCCATGTAGAGCAACGCTGTCAGAGAAGCATCAACAGAGCAGCTCCAACATTTATTATAGAAGTAGTCTGCTTCAGTGCCTGCTCTGGTTAGCAGGAGGGACTAAGTGACAGGTATACCTGATGAGTGCTAATTGCTAAATCAAATATTTCTACTTAAAGCATCTTGCCATTGGTTTCCAATTGCACATTCACCCCTCAAAAATAAGACTGGTAGCAAACCAGATTTAAATACTAGAGGAAGAAAAAAGTCCTGAGGGAGGGCAGCCTCTCGTAAGAAAAAGAACATGACAAACACCATAAAACAAGTTTATCTTCATACCAAGCCACGGCGCTAAACTAATAAATTTATTTTCTACTAACAACACCGCCAGCTACAAATCTGTGATTGGAAAGGCGGCAATGGGAACCTGCAGATAATCTGATGTTGTGGGACAGAGTGACCATTGCTCCATATGGAGCAACGTTACCTTGGTGGGGTAGGAAGGGCACGAGAAGGGCAGCTCTCCAGCTCACTCTGCTTCCAGCCTAGCAGATTTGCAACCAATTGAAACTTCACGCCAAAGAGCTTTACAGAAATGCCCAGAGCGGGCAAACAGAGCTAAAAGGATGTAGAGAAGAGGCTGGGAGCCATAGACATTTTAAGAGAAACTCAGCAAGGCACAGAGATACCGGAGGATAAGACCATCGTGCAAAAACAAGATGGGCGGTTCAAGAGTAAAGAATGGGCTGGCAGGCAGGAGTAGTGAAAATTTTTAGCAGATGAAGGAAAATGCAGGCTGAAGTGCAATGATTTCAGGATATTTTTTAGGCAGGTGGTTAAAGAAAAGCAAAGCAAAGTACTTTATGGCCAGTGTGTTCATCTGCCTTCAAGCAGGACATATAAAGGCTCCATCATCAGCGTACAGGGAACTTTAAATATCATTGTAAAAATCTTCACTGAAGGAGTCAAACTGCAAGTTACAGAGCCAGAACCAAACTTCCCAAAGTTTGGAGCACTAATATTTGTGAATGTTTCTCACTGAAAATGTTTCTAAGGGTGCTTAGAGGAAAGGATTCATTTTTCTTCTATTAACAGTAATCCCAAGGATATAAGAATTACTTTATACTACTTGTATGAATGATCTCAAAACCAGGAACATCTCTGTTCCATCAGAAAACATTAATAAGATTTGACACGCTTCAGATAAGCTTGGTCCACCGAAGCTTACGAAAGTCACATAAACTTCCCCATTCTAGCCATATTAGGTCTTACATAGAGTTTTTTTTTTGTTTTGTTTTAAGACAACTGACTGATTGAAATTCAAAGACGGCAAATACAGAAAGCAATGAAGGTTATCTATCGAAGCAGAATGAATGGACACTCTCTAAATCCAGTCCAGAGAGAGACACTGTGAAGAACCAGAGGGACTTTAAATTCTGGAAAAGATACACCTTCTACAGAGCTCTCCTTTGCTTCTGTTGAAACAATGAAATATTAATGCCAATTCATTACACATCAATGCACTTGTATACTCCCCTGTTATCAAGTGCCCAAATGAAAACAGTCTGTTCTGAGTAATTTACTCCCAAATCATCAGCAAGCTCTTTTCTGCAAATCCTAGAGGAGACCTTCACCGTTTGTCAAATCAAATCCATGACTGACAGTTTTTACTTTTTAGAAAACACGTTCTCTCTTTCAAGTTTCAGAAAGGTACTGGCATATGTATTTTTGACGTGCTATAAAAACTTGACATTTAAAAGAGATATAACTGTGATAGCGATCAAGTAAAAATATATGAAGACTATAAAACAAGACGAAAAGTTTCAGGTTGGTGGGCTGAATCTAGCACGCAAGACCAATTCATTCAACCTTCAGTTGGCAGGCTCTGCTCCTGTCTCTCCAGGAAGCCCCCAGGTACAGATGGGGCAACGTCCCACGGGCCAGATGAACCCTCTTGGCAGCCCACTTGCTGCCATTTCAGTGCCTAGGCTCTCCTGCCTCAGCCCATCATGTGTGGACTGCTTCCACTCAAAAGCTTTTCTATTTTAACCCCGAGCTAAAGACCATGTGAAACAACAGCTCCTTAAAGCAAACACAAATTTTGACTGAAGCGGTGACGATCCTGATTATTCTATGATTACTCACTGATTACCAGTTTCTAATACCCTTACCTGTACTGAACGTCAGACGACGGCTCACTGCACTGTCCCCAGCAAGGGAAGGAAAAGTTACATCTAATGATAGTTCAAAAAAACGTATTTATACGACCATATTCTTTGGTATACCTGAAACATGAAATTGCATTTCTAAAATAATTCACTCTGGTTTTCTGCTGGGGTTCCTTGTTAAGAGAAGTCAAAATGCCTCAGAAATCTCTGTTCTCCCTTCACACTCACATTCTCTTTCTCTCTCTGCACAGGAAGGAAGGATTATAAATGTACCGGCTGACTGATGTTACCGTAATAATCCATTACTGGGGAAAAAACAATTTTAAAACAAGAGTCACTGACTACATGACTACCTAATGAAAAACAACAACAGTTCTGTGATTCCAGAATTGTTTTTTTTTAATTGAACATGAGTTTTTTTCCATTTGCTCAGTAATGTACTCATTCTAATGTACTCACTATAACCTTAATTTTTTCCCCATTTGTTACTAATGGAATATAATTATTTCCAGTCTCAAGACACTCGGCAGAAAACTCCTCTTTTTAAGGCTAGGGAAAAAAAAAATCTAAAAATATACACCATTATTGTACTGGTGACTGCAGAGATACACTGGCGGAAGGTGGAGAGTCAGCATTTAGAAGGGGAAGTTTTCAAAGACCAAGAGGAAAACTAGACTAACAGAGTAACTATGACAAAACGTACTGTGGCAGCAGGACCCCAACTGGCCTTGGTATAACCACAGTTCCAGGCAAGCCATTGAGTCTGCATAGGTACACTCTACATGCCTAATACAGGTACTCCTTTGCTATAATCTCTTAAAATACTATGAAATCAAAGGAAACATATTAAATGTAAACTATTAGCTTCAAACTCCCCAGCTTAGCTCATAGCTTGATTTGCAATAGCTACTGCTAAAAAAAGAGGTTTTAGGATTTGCTAACTCATTACAGAGCAAAAAAACCACCAAACTGAAAACTCTTTCCTGTCAGAAAATGAAGAAAAATTGAAAGCAGGATGCAATGCCTTTAGTATTGCATGCATAGGCAACACATGCAAAGCTCTTATAGATTCACATGAATTATAAAAATTAAAAAGAAATGCAGCATTCAGCAGTGATGGAGCTACACATCTCTTTCAGGCAGGTAAGACCAGATTGTATAAGGCAACCAGCAGTAAAGATCTCCTTGTAAGATGAAAACAGGCATTACAAAAAATAAAGACAAGCCCTTTGTCTGATTTGTCCTAAAAATGTAACAGGATGGTTGATCATTTATAGTCTTTGAATTTTATTCTTTTTCAGCTTCTATTCTGCAGGTATTATCTAATTCTAGTATTTAATTAGGGAAATAAAAATCAACCAATTGACTTTGCAGTAGGTGGGATGTGAATATAATTTTAACGTAACAGCTAGAAAGGTTGACTGTATGTTTGACTTCTATCCCCTCAGATTTTCCAACCTTAATGTAACGAGAGCTGTCAATCCATATATGAAGACACAACATAAGCAAAAATTGCATTCATCACAGAATGCATCTTTGTGTCCAACGATGGATAGAAGTTTAAGTACATGAAGGGCCTGGTAGTGAAAAAAACACACTGACTTGATTTGGATGCAGTGAATTCAGTAATAGGTAAAATGTTTCAGCACATACGCAGCTAAATGAGATTACACGTTTTACAAAGTAAAGCTTACCTGCCCATTTCTTCCCAGTTCCATTTCCACTATTGCAACAGGAGTATTTATCTGATCGATATGTCTTGACTGTGACTTCAAATCCACTCTCCAGTTCATGTTTTTCAAGACATTATCCCACCGGCTTTGATTGATCAGGCTCTCTCGAATCTTTATTCGGTGGTTTTTCCAAAATTTTGCAATGACTGCAGCTTGATCTGATGTGATGCCACCTTGTTTTTTGGTTTGGGCAGTGAGAAAAGCCTCCAGCTGATTCAAATCCATGTCTGCTGAAGCAATTGACTGGAGGAAAAACAGGAGGAGAAAAAGGGAAAAGCTTGCTCAAGAGTATTCTTCAACAGTCAAAGCTGAACACTCTACCAAAAGGTCATATCTTAGGGTTTCACAAATATCAGGTTTTAAAAGGATAGTGCAAGGAAATCTTGGTTATGGAAGTAACCCAACAACTTTCATTACACTTCACTTTGCAAGTACCTAGCACTTTGCCCAGCTTGCTGCCCCGGGGCAGCTGGAGGGGAATAGTTTGGGAATGGCGAAGAGGAACCTGGGAGTGCCTCCGGGTATGGAGCACCTCTACGGGACAACCAGGCAGCTTTTCCCCGTCTGTCCCATTCTCCCAGTATCACAGATCATGGTGTCTCCCCTGCCAGGTAAGCAGCCCCTGGGCATTACTCCTCCTCGTGTTGTGATAGCAATGATCCTTTCAAAACCCATTTTTACAGAAATCCACTCTTCCACCTCTCTTTCTAAAGTTGATAATAAGCCTTAAGTTTGCATCGCCTAACGGGCAATGGCTGCTTGAACATGCTGGGGAAGAGGGGGGCAGAACGTGAAAAGAGGAACCTGTGGTTAAATTTACCCATTGCAATTTCAAGCAACTTTTGTTTCATTTTCACCAAAACCAGATGCAATCCATCCTTAACAACAAACCAAAATGAAGATAACACTGGGACTCTCGGGATTTGTCTCAATTTAATTCTCATTGACATTATACTCCTGCCGCTGCACGCCGTACCCTACTGGTACAAAACCCCGAAGACGCCAGGCTCGTCGGTGTGAAATTCCCCTGGCCCAGGACCTTCACCAGGACAAAACACGCCTGCGCCTTTTTAAACTGCTGCTCAAAACCGAAGCTAGCGTTCGCACAAAAACTAAACAGTGTTCACAGAAATAAAACCACTTCGCTTGCAGAGCCTAGTGTTAGCAGGGATGATGGCACTGCGTGGGTTTGGGCCAGGCACGCACCGCGTGCTTCTGATTCCCCGTCTGTAACGCAGGGCGTTGTTAGCTGAACTCACAGGCGCGCTGAGCGTTTGCGTTTCATACGCTTACCGAAGACAGGCGATCTGCTCCTTTTCCCTGTCTCTCCTGCGATAACCCGCGCTTGCCAGGGGAGTTAGCGACAGGCAGGCTGCACGACTTTCCTCCAGACCACACAGATGGCAAACCGCACGGATCTTAGTCACATCAAGAGTGGCTGGAACTAAAATAACTGATTTTAAAAACAACAACAAGGCGAACCAGCCCTACAAAATGAGCTCGCTCAGCACGCAAGGACCAGAGAGCAGCAGCAGCAGCAGGTTGCTGCTCTAAAGCGAGCAAAGCAACAACCTGCGCTCAATGTGCAAGTGGAGACACCACATCCTTCCCAGCCTGCGCGCGCGCAAGAGAAAAACAAACCCAGCCCTCCCCAAAACGGGACACAACGCGCGATCTTCAACAGCGCTCTCTGCCCTTATCACCCTGCGCAGGAGACCTTTCTCCAGCAACTTTTGTCATGTTCTTGTCTGGTTTTTTGGTCTAGCGTACCACTCGCGTTTGCAAGTGAAATGTAAAACCTCTGTGTGTTCACGCATGACCAGCCCCCTAATGAGTTTGCTGTCAAAATGCCACACAAAGATGTTTTGCCACTCAAAACAGAGGAAGGAAATCATATCATTCATGTCTCTTCCTCTTGCACAGAGATATATGCTTGCATGTGTACACTAAATATGGATCATTTAATACTGTAAATGCATACAGTTAAGAAACAGGGGAAGATGACAATTAGAGTGTATTTTGTGGAATATTTATCAGCGTTTATCCTTTAAACAATATAGCAATAAACTTCATTCAGACTAGAATCTCTCTCCGTTTGGAAATCAGACTGTTTCTTAAAAGCTTCTTTTTTTAAAAAAATGAATATACATTTTAACTTGAAGAGGGTACAATCAATGAGTTATACTTCAATATAACTGCACAAAGGTAACACCAACGACATATTTTCGTTACAGTTCCTCAGCAAAAAACACCACCTCTCAAGGCAGCCAAGTAACAAAACAACGGCACCTCATTTTCATATTATTTTTCATCTTTCCCTGGAAACATTTGATTGTGAGATAGGAAACCAGGTATAAGCTGCAAAGAATGAGAGAAAAATTAAGGTCTTTGCTCATCCCTCATTTCTTCCACTGTACAAATTCCTGTACAATCCACAACCATCGCTCTACTCCATCACTCACACGAATGGCAGCAGCTCAACTGGGGACTGGCTAAATCTTTTAATGTAACTTGGCTAAAAATTATTCCAGTCGCACTCTGCACAGTGTTGCAAACAACGCTCCTTTCCCGCGCCATCAGAACGCAGCAAACTACAGCCAATACACCTTATGGACGTTTCTAAGGATTAATTTAAATTTAAAACGTAAGCAGCTCTTCTGCGTTTTTAACTAGGTATAAATAAAACGTGTCCGATTACAGAGTCTCCCTTTCCTGCCTTCAAACTTTGGGGATTTAGGTTGCTCATTGACCACGACCAGGACCAGGACTAGCTGTCGTCTGGAGCGCCAGTGGGTCTCCTCCTACAGCAGTGGTGGAAACGGTTTCACTGTTGGCATAAACAACACGCACACATTTTAACATCATCGCTGGAAACTTCTCAGGACTTACGAGGGGTGGAAACCTATTTTATCCATCAACTCCTGCAGTAAAACCACTCTCAGCACCGGTTCAAGAGGGATATGTCTCACTCACTGCTTCGTTTACGTTCCTGCTACCGTTCCTTCAAGTGACTATGTTTCAAAACTCAAATCTGTAAGAAATCACAGAAAAAAATTTCCTCACGTTACATATCTTGAGATTTGTTAAAACATGCCTTTTTTTTGCTGGGAAGGACAGCTTACGGGAAGCCCACCCTACCCTCAGCAACCGGCTCCACCTTTCCTTCCAGAGGCTGGACAAGCGCTTTTAAACAACATGAAACGGCTGCGCTCGTACTGACGTTTCCTTGCCTTCATCTTCAAGAGAGATCCATTAGCTCTTAAAATGTAATTCAGCCAATAAAAATATGACTTCAAATACTATTTCTTTAATGGAACAATATTTGATAATCTGGAGAGTTTTGTATTTGCTTAATTAGGCCCATTAGACACGGGCCTCGGTACACAGAACAGGAAAGCAGACTTAAATTCATTATCTTTTCTGAGAAATAGAGCCTGGCAAGCATGCAATACCAGTGAGAGACAACAACGGATGAAATCCACTGGGAAGAAAAAAGCACTTCATTTCCAGAAATAAAACATTACTTGTCAAGCAACATGGACGCGCTCCAAGAGCTTGCCATGCCAGCGCGCGTGGGCATTTTCTCCAGCTGACCCTCAAAACCGCGGACCGCTGCCAGTCTGTAGCACAAAGAAACGAAAAGCTCGCAGAACACCAACAGTTCGGTGCCCTGTGCTGTAATAATGAACTTGCCTCTTTGGGCTTTTTGTAGGCGGGGTGAGAAGCTATTCTGGTGTCACACGCATTGCAATTCAGCTGCGCTCCGAAATATAACCTTGAAAACCTTTTATCAGACACTTTTGAGCACGTGCACAGAGAGCAGGGACCTGCTGCGGCCAGCAGTAACGTGGAGCAGCTCTGTGTGAAAACCCTTACTGCACAGTACGGTAAACCTTTACCGGATTTGGGGCACTACTGGCTTTTGGGGTGTCTTTGCTGGGTGCAGCTTGGGGGCGCGCAGCTTCTTTCTCCTTCTTTACAAAGGAAAGCCACGCCGGAGAAAGCAACGTCAAGCAGTTCTCGTCATCTTTGGGCACAACGGTCCCCTGGGCCCTAGTGACGTTAAGCTACTCATCCAAGTTAGGGTGTGCACATCCTAGTGCTTGAGTGCACATCCTAGTAGCTTGAGTCAGGGGCGTGACGTTAAGCTACTCATCCAAGTTAGAGTGTGCACATCCTAGTGCAACTGGTAGCTTGAGTCAGGGCGAAGATGAGAACATCTCTGCAGCCCTGTGGTTTCTGACTCTCCTTTTTAAGTATGTAGGAACGAGATTGTCTCCCAAGGGCTGCTGATGTACCCAGTTCCATAATAACTGAGCTGTTCCCATAGATGTTCCCTGGATATTAGGCCAGCAGACTTTCCCACGTTGCTGGAGACAGTGGAGGTTTTTAACTACTTGGCAGGTTGGGCCTCACAGACACTATTTCTTAGACTCTAAGAGCTCTCCTGAGAATTGGAATTAAGACAAAATTAGACGTGACAGCCTGCTGCTCTGCATTTGAAAACAGTGATCCATCCTTTGGAAAACAACACAAAACTAAACGGTCCCCTTCCCCCCCCCAAATTCAAATAGTTCAGGAATCACAAGTGACCTTAACAATACATTTATATCAAAGCAGAAAGATTTTAACTAATCTTTTAGCCTTCATCTAATCCATGGGAGATCTCAGGAATGTCTTTTATTTAAGTTCCATACTGTCTCTCCCCATATTATTTTATTCTGCTTCTTATTGAGCTGTCCCACACATGGTTAGAAGTGGAGATGAAACAGCTTATAGAAAAGAGCTAACTGTCGATCATCATAAGAGCAATGATATATATTTTGTTTAAAAGTCTGTAATTTTAAATTTGTTCTGGTGCGTACAATCTTCTGCAACATCTAGGTGTTATTCAGAGCCACTTGGTTCATTGCAGAGGAGACACTACCGAGGTCAAGGAACATTCAGTGGATTTGGAAATTTTTTTTATGTTCTGGTTATTCTGACTTTTCTTAAGCTTTCTTCTTGGCCAGGAGTATTCGCAACACAATGCGGCAAAAGAGTTACTTAACTCCTGCTGCAGATGGGAAAAATGGGAGCATTATAAAATTTCAGGCAAAATTACATCCTTCCTACATTTCTAATCTTATTAAGCTTGATTTCACATAGACTTGCCAAATGTGCATGTGGAAGATAAAACTCTTCCCAATAGATCGTTTCCACTCTTCCATTTTCTCTCCCAGGTTCCCACCAAGTAAACCCTCCCCAGAAAGCCCTATCTTATTTTTTGCATATAAGCTGACAAAAAAAGCAATGTTCTCTACTAAAGTTGCTTTTTTGTTTGAACATGAAGTTCAGTAACAGTTGTTTGGGGTGGGAGGGAGGAGGAAGGGGTGATATATATAGCCATTTTGGCCTAGCTTACAATTGAACATGGAAGAGATCTCAGTATTAATTTTTAAAGGCTTCAAAAGTGACCGCATTTTTTCTCCAGCCTGCCTCTGCCATTAGTCTGTACGTCTGCCAGAAATGACAATTTTGAACTCCCAATTTCATGACACACCACTTCCTAAGTTATTTGCAAGAGGTGTCATTTTTCTGTGGTACGAAGACTCATTTGATGACAAAAAAGGACGAAAAAACAGCCAGCCAGCAGATGAACCACAACCTGAGACATTATCCTGTGGTCAGATAGTACTTCCTGCAAGCCTACTGTGCTGAACCTTAAAAAAAAAAAAAAAAAAAAGAAAATGAACCATCTTTAGCTGAGGGAAAACTGAGAATCACATAGACTACTCTGTCTGGACCCATTTACAGGCTCTCCCTGTGCTTTATACCACTTACAGCATAAGAATAAAAACAAGAAACGAGCCCACCCGCTAATAACGTTAGTCATAGCTAGATCGCTAAATGATGCCTGCATACTTGGTTTATGAATAGAAGATAAAAGCTGGGATTTTAAGCAATAAACATCAAAAACAAGCACCACCCCTTTACCGCGCAGTAGCTTCCAAACTACTTACGTGATTTAAAAATAGACAGGAGAAGAGATATATAAGAAAAAAGGCAATGGAAAGCGCTTCTCTCAGACGACACAGATAGGCTGTGGACAGGCTAGAGAGAGATAGTGTAGAGAATTGAAAAAATAAGGAAATGTTCTATTAATAGAAGATATACTTGCAACTGCAAGGGTCACACAGGAGGAAAAAATATAAATAAATTGTCCATCTTAGCCTGTACTCAACTGCATTACATAAAAAAGTGTCTTTTTAACAAGCTGTGCTATCAGATAGCTGTGCTATCCAAACTGGAGTAATTTTTTGCCACAGTTTAGAAAGTATTTTGTTTCTTGCCATTTGGGGTAGAAGCAATGGAATGTCACTCTCCCAGTAATTCTTAAAAATGTTGCTATCACAGAATCACAGAACAGGGGGTTGGCAGGGACCTCTGGAGATCACCTGGTCCAACCCCCCTGCTCAAGCAGGGTCACCTAGAGCACGTTGCCCAGGACCGTGTCCAGACGGCTGTGGAACACGTCCGAGGATGAAGACTCCACAACCCCTCTGGCCAACCTGGTCCAGTGCTCAGTCACCCTCACAGTCAAGAAGTTTTTCCTCAGGTTCAGACAGAACTTCCTGTGTTTCAGCTTGTGCCCGTTGCCTCTTGTCCTGTCGCTGGGCATCACGAAGAGTCTGGCCCCATCCTCTTGACATCCTCCCTTCAGATATTTATACACACTGATAAGATCCCCCTTCAGTCTTCTCCAGGCTGAACAGTCCCAGCTCCCTCAGCCTTTCCTCATATGAGAGATGCTCCAGTTCCTTCATCACCTTAGTGACCCTTTGCTGGACTCACTCCAGTAGCCCCGTCTCTCTCTCACACTGGGGAGCCCAGAGCTGGACCCAGCACTCCAGGTGTAGCCTCGCCAGGGCTGAGTAGAGGGAAAGGATCACCTCTCTTGATCTGCTCGTCCTATATACCATTGACCTTTGCTGCGAGGGTGCACTGCTGGCTCGTGTTCAACTCAGTGCCCCCCTAGACCTTCTCTGTAAAGCTGCTCTCCAGTTGGTCATTACCCAGCACGCACTGGTTCGAGGAGTTATTCTTCCCGAGGGGCAGGGCTCTGCACCTCCTTTTGCTGAATTTCATGAGGTTCCTCTCTGCCCACTTCTCCATCCTGTCGGGACCCCTCTAAATAGCAGCACAACCCTGCCAAGTGGTGTATCAGCCACACCTCCCAGTTTCTGCAAACTTATAAACTGGCTGAGGGTGCACTCTGCCCCATCATCCAGGTCATAAATGAAGATGTTAAACAGTACTTGGCCTCAGTACTGACCCCTGGCCTCCAGCTGGACTTTGTGCCCACCGATCACAACTCTCTGAGCCCAACAATTCAGCCAGGTTTTCAAGCCACTTCACTGTCCACTTATCTAGCCCGTACTTGATCAGCTCGTCTGTGGCAGACAGCATTAAAAGCCCTACTAAATGCAAGATAAATAATTTCCACTGCTCTCCCCTCATCCACCAAGTCAGTCATCTCATCCTAGGCGGCTATCAGGTTGGTTAACTAGGATTTCCCGTTCACAAATCCCTACTACTCCCAATCACCTTCCTGCACTTCCATGTGTCTGGAAATGGTTTCCAGAATTAGTTACTCCATCACTTTTGCAGGCATCGAGGTGAGGCTGACTGGCCTGTACTTCCCAGATCCTCCTTCTTGCCCTTGTTGAAGACAGGGGTGACATTTGCTCCCTCCTAGTCCTCAGAAACCTCTTCTGATTGCCTTGACCTTTCAAAGATAATTGAGTGATCCTTGAATGTCAACCAACTTCTTGGATCTCCCCGCTCTCCGGGACCATATCGCATGAGATTCTTTTAAGCATGAGATTCTTTTTGGCCTGAAGAGGCCAAACTCTGCTTGTATACAGCTATGCTGTATACAAATTTGAAAGGGTCAACCTTTTTAACCTTTTTCTAAGGAACACGTGGTCCTGAACTATGCTTCAGCAGAACCAAAGTTATTTTAAGAGGGTACAAGTCTTTGCAGGTTATATTATTCAGTCTAAAATAGTTTCTTCTTCAGTCCTCCTGAAGGAATCAGATTCATAAATAAAAACTTTCAACAGATGGAAGCCGTCTCATGCAGTATTGCTAAAGAGAGAAAGAAAAATAAAAGACAGAGAGAAATTCAGATAGGGTAGAACAAATACCAGATGGTAAATGCAAAAATGTTCAAGGGGAGGGACTAAAAGCAGGAGAAGAGACAGCGACGGCCCCTGGAATTTGTGACATGACCTCTCCTTCCCTAAAGAGATCATGTGATTGGCCTTTTATCTCCTCCCTTTTTCTCTTGCAATAAAATAAACGAGAACTGTATTTATCAGGCTTCTGCAATCATTCTGGGAAAATTACTTATTGCCTTGGACTACTGCTTAATGTTTAATCTCATTTCACTTAGATTTAAAAATAGAAGTTGGATCAGCTTGTCCTTTAAGGGCATGTGGAAAAAGAGTTGTAGCCCTACTCTGAAAGCAGTAATGGCGCAAACATTAGCAGAGCTTGTTGTAGCACTTTGCAGATGGTGCTCTTTTAAGTAAAATCGGGCCAAGTACAAACTTACTTTATCATGAACCAAGCACAGCAAATAGAATTAGCATCATGAATTCCTTTCCACTTTTACTTGGTGTATCTTGATTGTTTGCATCTTAAAATGTAATTATTAAGTCAGCTAATTTCCACCTTGATTTACATTTGAATATCAGCTTGATTTTTATCAAGCATAAATGCTCCAGCAGCGAACAACATGAAATGCACTGAGTCACACCCCTCAACTGTATGCTGTCTTGCCATTTATCGCGATTTGAACAAAATCCTGGCTCCGAGCTCTGCTTTCCTTCCTTTCACAGCACCCTTGTATTTTATCTGCACCATTCTGGTAAATAGCTAGAGTTACGTTTTCCTACTGGGACGCAGAAAAGTCCCTGCACGTGCAATCTGCCCCTGCCAGAGGCAGGGAACGAACAGCGGTAAAACACTGCAGCCCAAGGCCCGCTGCATTAGCCCGCAGCTCCACTGACACCCTGCACAGCAGCGAAGACATCAGCAAGCAAAGGAGACACGTTTACAAACTCTCAGTTTCAAGGGAAACAGAAGCAGACAAGGGTGCTTTACCACTCATTCATCAGGTATTTTGACAACTCACGTTACATGCTGACAGGTTTGCCAGGTGAGAGGTAAGCTTCTTGCGTCAGCATAGCACCCAGCAGGTCTTCTTTCGCGCATTTATAAAGTGGTTTTCCTCCTGTCAATTCCGTGAAACACAAAACACGCTCCCTTAACCAGTGGCAGCCCTAGCAGTCATTAACAGCTCAGCCTTTATGAGGACGAAGGAGCATTAGGTCAAACTCTTCCCCGTAGGAATCGCAACTACTCTGTACAAGGTCCCCATGTAGCCCTGGGGCGCACCACGTGCACCCAAGCTGGGGAGCTCGCAAGAAACCATTCCAGGTATGAGCATCAGCTCACCTTCCCATAAAGATTTAAGTACCCGTTTGCTCTACCAAATATGCTCTTCGAACTAAATCTAATAAACGTTTTGGGGAAAAAAGGCTAAAAACTTAACGAAGCCACCAAAATACTGAAGTGAAAGTATTCTCCCATGGAAGTAAATACTTACCGACCACTCTACCTCAGCGGGAATTCTCTATTTATACCCGGTTAGGCCCCCGACCAAGTCATCACCTTGCAGAGCTGGCCAAACAGCCGGTTTTTGCAGCGAGGCCCACTGCAGCCGTGCCTCCGCAGGCCACTCGCAGGGCTCTCTGGAGCCGCGCACGCACGACGGCGCTTTGCAGAGCTTGCGGGTACGCACAAGACTGATCCAAACAGTTTGGTGGGGCTGGGCAAAATCTGGTTTCAGATGTCACCGTTGTAAGCCTTCCCTGTGTTGAAATTTCAACACACAAACACTCCAAGCCGGTGCAGTCCATGCCGCCAAAAAGCTTTCAATTAACTTTTCCCATGGCTTTCCTTTGGTTTCTAGTCAAACTGGGGCTATTCACAGTCAATGAACCCTTTCCCATTTGCCCATGCGAGCTAGACAATTTTCTCTGGCACTTACTCATCATTGCCAGACTTTTTATAGGTTTACTGACACAACGAACATCATAAAAGAAATCCTGTGAACAGAAGCACTCTCCCCGCTGAGAAAAGAGCAAGCGGCGTTCTTCTAACCTTGCTCGTGACAGCCCAGAGCCAGATCTTTGTCTCTCTTTTGCTCATACGGGAGACTACGCAGTGGCTGCATGGGTACTGGTCACATAAAAGGAGACGTGTCCAGCACCTGATGGAAGAAGAGCCATTCTGCAAATTTGCAACAGGTGCGCATGCTTTCCGGCTTCTTCCAGGATAGGTCCCAAAAGGTTTGAGGTGCAGCATAACGGGCGCTAGTCTCTTGAGGACCCATCCATAAATCACGGCTCAGACTACCCATGCATCTCACGCAACCCTGGAAAGCGGCCCATAGGTCCACACCGCAATGGGATGCATATGCAAAGGCAGGTAACGTAAAGAAGGAGGAGTCAAACAACAGATCCTTACTCTCAATGCCTGACACTGATGGGTCTGCCGTTTCGAGAAGCCAAACGGTACAAATTTAAGCAAAACTCCAACCGGCATCAGACCCACAGCTTGTCGTCTTCATTCTAGACAAGGCATGAAAGCTAAACGTGTCACTGAACTGTGTTGGAAGAAATTTCACCCTGAAAACATGAAAGGGCACTAATTTATGGCTCCTCGCTTTTCTTATTTTTTGCACATGTGCACACAATTTGTGAATACGTATTGCGTCCACCACGTGAACATTTGACAGTCTACTTTACTAAAATAACGGCACACTGCCTGAATGTGCCTTTTCTGCTTTGCAGGAAAAGGGAGTGGTACATACTTGGTTCACTTCAAAAAAACGTTAAGAACGGAGTTTAATGAAAAATACAAAACAAATTACAACTAACTCAAACCTGTAAAACATTTGCACCATCTCAGACCTGTGTAAAACTAAAGGGTATTTATATAAACAGCTTGTTAGAACAGAACATAAACTACACTTAGACCAGAAATGGCAAAAAAAAAAAAAAAAGAGAGACGACTATGAAAAATTCACACATCAGACGTGACAGTCTGAAAAGAGACAGCAAAGTCATACGTAAACCTCAGGCTCAAAGTAAAAATGTCTGCTGCTAACTTGTCTGTTACAAAGATTCAACTTCAGTGTCTGCATTTATCTTAAGAACATGTTTTATCATCTTGACATCGCAGTTTATACAGACTGCACAGAAGGGGGGAAAAAAAAAAAAACCAACTACCCACCAAAGCTGAGGTAAGAATCTTTTGGTAGAGATCCAAAAACATCTCCACAGGAAGAAAAATTATAACCTTATTTGGAAAAATACAGAATTTAAGTCAAACTATATTTATACTGAAACTTTTTATTGTTAGAAGTGAAATATATGAAAAACAAGCTTTCAGAAATACCTTAACATACAAAATGAGAGAATTACAAATATATCTCTATCTCTCTAAAAGGCTTACTTTAAGTCTAAAAGA